CTTCGGTGTGCCTTTATCATCAACACCGTACGCCCCACAACGACTACTTGCGACCTTGCTTGATGGTTTCACGTATAGCAAAAGGCTATACGTGGACACTTATGCATCAGACATAAGCATCGAAAATCGAACCAAGAAGCAAGGAAAAGAAAAGAACAAAAATAGGGTGAGAGAGAGGAGAAGACAATCCACCTAACACGATTCCTGAAAGGAGGTGGGTTGTTTCTCGATATCAAAGAAAATCAGAATACATGTCAAAGCAGTTAAACCTCTCACCACGTGGTGCAGAGGTGTGTAGTGATGTAGCATCTGATATAATGTAGGAGGCGAAGTGGGTGAAGTGGTGAAGCGGTGAAGTTAAAATAATAATGAGAAGTCGAGATATATATGAGAAAGCCAAATTAAAAAAAAAAAAACAAAGAAGCAACATGCCCAAGTAAGTAAAAAGAAGGGGAAAACCCGATCGAGAAAAATCGGGCAGCATAACGACATAAAAATGGATTTTTCACACCTGCAATTTACACAACTATGAAAGTACACAAGCATATGAATGAAGACATCTAGTGTTTCCATCAATCCCAAGCATATATGTAGCATAGATAAAAAGAAGAGTGAAGAAATTTTGTAAAATGAGAATATGAGCAATGTGAGCCAACTTCTACAAGTGTACAAGCGCAAATTTCATACTTAAGCAGGTATAAATATGGTGTAACTTCACAAGTGCAAAAATGTTCGTTTTGACAAGTATAGATTGATAGACACCTCTTTTGTGCATGAGAAGAGGTGGAGAGTGTGCAAAAATAAAACTTAGGTGTTACGCATATGAATGACTATATAAATGCGTAAGAAATAAACACATAATATTTTTCATGAGTGTTTCAAGTAGAGTCATTCTCAAATCCGAAAATTCCATATGATGAAGGCTTCCAAACAAAGCCACACAAAGCGTTAGCTTGCACATAAGAAGGGCTCCAAAAATCAAAGTGTGAGATACATAACTTGCACATGAGAAAAGCTTCAAAAAGTCATGTGTAAAACCAACCCTTGGTCTACCAAAATACTTTAAAAGCTAAAAGGAAATCTCATATTTTCACATGTAAGGGAAGACTCCCAATGCCATGAATAAATCCCAATACTTTAGCACATGAAAGGTATTCCAAATGTCATGAACACACTTCACATTTTGACATAGAAAGAGGACTTCATAAGCTATACAGATCTTCTTT